GATTCATAGTCTTTTGTTTTTTGGTCTTATTGTCTAATCAGAATAAGAAAATAACCTTCTTTATGTATTTAGTCTAACTGGGATAATAAGAAATTGAAAACTTCAACTTGAACAAATAATCATCATTTTACCATCTAAGGAATTTAGTATCCATCCTAATGGTCTTATAATTTTTTTGTTTTAATTACATTTTATTTGAAGAAGTAGAGAATTTTATATCCATTGATTTTCTTTCATTTTATCAATGATATTATTAGAATATATAAATATGGTCAATGGAACCTTGTTTATATCTTGCTATTAATTTGTTTCATATCAGCTAATTAGAAGCCAGATAATATTGTACTATCAGAAATACAGGATCAAACTAAGATAGCCAAAATTTTCCAAAAAAACTATAAAAAAACCATAAACACTTTACTGTAAGAGAGCAAGAGATAGTATATGCAAAGGTGAATAATAGGTCTTCTCTTGTTTAGAAAATCTTTACCTTCATATCATATCCAACTTTAAAAAGAGATACTCTACAAGTTGATCCTTTTATTTCTTAGAGTCTTTTTGCCTTTAATAAAAGAAGTATATACTTAAGTCAATTAAGGCTACCAGAGATTCAAGTTTTTATTCAAAGAAGTTTGTAAACAAGTAGAAGAGAGTAATAGTGACTCTTGAAGACAAGCTTCAAGTTGTTTTAAGGAAAGTAAAAAGACTTTATTAGTCAAGAAGAATAAAATTTTCTTGTAAATATTTTTTTTGTGTATGATTAAAGGATCTATAGAAAAGGTTAAGATATAAATTAATTCATTTTTTTTTTAAGTACCTGTAGCCAGATTAGATTGTTGATTTATTAATTAATTAAAAACATAAATATATTTTTATTCAAGTAGCATAATACATACTATAGCTAAACTATTATTCTAATTTAACTAACTTATTATAAGCATAAAAGTCTTTAAGTTCAACCTTAGAAACAATATTTTGTTTTGCAATGTCTTTGAGTAAAAACCCTTCTAGTTCACTATATCATTATCAGCAGGTTATCACTGCTATATATCTGATTAAGATACTAGAATACAGGAAATTACAAAAGGATAGATTGAAAAAGGAAAGAGGGAATATCTAAAAATATCTAAACAGACAACAAGAAAATGAAAAAATAAAAATTGAAAAAAAGTATTTCCAGCTTTTTTCAAAGATCTGCTCTTCAAGATCTCTTCTTAATAAAAAATGTCCAATTGGGATATTTTTTTTTTTTCTAATCATCTAAGGAACTTATTTATTCTTGATTTTGATTTCCTTCTTGTATACTATTTGAGAAGACTTATCATCTAGTGAAAGTCTTTACTTCTAGAACACATTTGGTCTCCACTTTTTTTGAACAGTAATTTTTTATCCATTTGTAGTAGAGAGATGACTTATGATGAACTCCAGGTTCTTATGTGATCTAATAAGAATTAGATCATGTTGTTTCAGTATAATATCTTCCAGTAGTCACACCTAATTAAAGGAATTTTACTAATATACATTTTTTATTATTCAGAAGGCCAGATTTCCCAATAATACTTTTGTTCTATAATAGTAAGAAGGTCTCAAAAGTAGTAGAATCCTTGTCAATTGTGATATTTTTCAACAACTTTTAGAAAAATGTATTCTCAACTATAATCAAAGAATTGAAACTTAGTATGGATTAGAGACCATTCAGTCTTATTGTCTGGCCAAGATAAAAAGAAGACCTAGGTCTTAAACTTTGCTTGATCAGAATGATAGAAGAGAAAGATCAGTTTAAATGAATAGCAGTTTTTTAGCACCTGGGAACTTGTTGCTCATATCTTATTGGTTTCATGGAACTTGATTTACAGATTAATCCAATTGGAGAAGAGAGATGGACATGAGGTATCAATTAATTCTTTATATTATCAATAATGTTATCAGAATATGTGAAGTGACCAATAGGAACTTGTTTATATTAAATTACTAATATACTGTATTTCGTATTAATCAATCAGATGCCAGGTGACTTTATGCTATCAGAAATTTAAAATCAAATTGTGGTAGACAAAATCCCTCAAGAAAACTGTAAAAAACAGTAAATACTTTAAGAGGGTATAAGACAATATGTAAGAAGGTGGATAATAAGTCTTCACCTATCAATAAAACCTCTATTTCTTGTTATTACTAGCTCTGTAAGATAATACTTCACTTGTTAGTCCTTTTACTTTTTAAAACCTTCTTGTCTTTAGTCGAGAAAATATGTACTTGAGTTTTTTCAGGCCACTAAAGGCTTAAGTTTTTATTCAAAGAAGTTTATAAACAAGTAAGAGAAGGTAGAAAAAATATATAAAAACAAACTTCAAGTTATTTTAATGAAAGTATAAAGACTTTATTAGTAAAGAAGTATAAAACTTCTTGTGAATATCTTTTTTGTATGTGGTTAGAGAATTAGTGGAAAGAGTTTTTGTTTTAAGATATAAATTAATTTATTTAATTATTGATAATATTATTTAAATATATAAATATAATTAATAAAAATTTATTTATTTTTTTATTAATATTATTTATATTAAGTAATTAGTTTTAATGTGATTAGTACTAATCCTTTAACTACATATAAAAAAGATATTTACAAAAAGTTTTTTAATATTTTTACTAATAAAGTCTTAACATTTCCATTAAAATAACTTAAAGTCTAATTTTAAAAATTGTTTTTACTCTTCTTTTTTTGGTTATAAACTTTTTACTTAAAAACTTGATTTTCAATAGCTAAGAAAAATCAAGTAATATTTTTGATATCAATAGTAAGAAAGTTTTCAAAAGAAGAAAACCTAATTATAAAGTATTTAAAAATCTTATTAACCTTTGAAGTGAAAAATTTATAGAGATTTTTTTCTTTTTTAATTGTTTTGATTTCTTTAAACTTTTACTTTCATGATTTTTTGAAGAATTTTGCTTACCTTAATTTGATATTTAAATTTTGAGTAATATAAATTTTTAATAAAAATAATTGGCTAATATAAAACATATTAGTTTTTGAAATATAAATATATTTTTATTGATTCTACTTATATATTTTAAAAATATTATTAAAGATTAAAAAGAATATTTTGGAAATATTTACTTTAAAAGTTCAAGTCCTTTAATAAAAATATTTATAATACTAAAAAATTAAGCAATAGGTAATATGAATTATAAATTTCTAAAGTTCCTTAAATAGTAATAAAGTTTTAATAAACAAAAGTTATAATCTAAATACTTTTCTTGAAATATTTTAATCTGGTATTTACTTAAATAAAGAATTGATTGGATTGATTTATTTGATGGTATAGATAATAATAAAAAAGATTTTTTTTAATATTCAAGTAAAGTAGGAAAACAATTTTAATTGGATAGATTCTTTTTGTAAGAATGATATTTTTATTTTTGAACTTTTTTGATAGATTTTGAATTGTCCTCTTTTTTCAATTATTTTTTTCCTTTTTCTTTCAACTTAGAATTCAAATTAATTAATAGTAATAAACTATTAATAATGATTCTGATAAATTATAATTAATCCAATCATATTAGAAAAATATAATATTGTTTTCAAAATTTGATTTAAAGTATTTATATTGTATATAAAAACAAGCTAGTCACTTTGTGAAAATCTATAATCTATTATAGATTTTGTTTTAATTTTTTAATAAAAACAAGCTATTATAACATATTGTAAATTAATAAAAAAAAAGTTTTAATGAGATTGATATTATTTAAAAATTTAAAAAAGAATTATAAACAAATAACAACCATAATAATAATTTTTAAAGAAATTTTTCCAGTAGTTTTAAAGAAAATATATAAAAATTTTATTAGTAAAGAATTTATCAAACTATAAACTTCTTTTTTATAAGTAATCAATAAAACAGCAAAGATATAAAATAACTTTACAAATTACTTTTAATATAAAATAAATCATTATTTTTATTTTCTTTACTTTTTTCAATAAATTTGAAAAGTTTGTTATTCAAAAAATAAATAAAGTATGATTTAAAAATTTTTTGCAACTTATTTAATTATAAAGCATAAAACTTTAACCAAATATTGTTTATATAAATATAATACTTGTACTTTTTAAACAATTCTTTTTAAATATATACGTATAATAACCAGCTTTAATATATTTTACGTAGATTTGTAAAATGTTAGTAAGAATAAACTTGAACGCGGATAAAAAATAGAATAAAATAAAACCAAAATTTTATATCGAAAGTTACACACGAAATAATATGCAAATAGATAAAATTTTATGTTTTAAAATTCTTTAATATGAATAAAACATCAAGTATGCTGCATATAGTAATGATTGGCTCTTTTAACTTTATTAAAAAATCAATAGCTCGCGATTAATATTATGACCTATACAATAAATTTGATCATAAAATATTTTCTATCATCCGTATATTTAAATAAAATGTCATTTTAATTTCAAAAGATCATATGGTATATATAGAAATTACTTTAAACTTAGATACCGTGTTTGTTATTATACTTTTTTTTTCAACATAACAAGTTAATAACATATTTAAAGGTTACATTATAGATCTATTATGATTGCAAAAAACCCAACTTTTTATTAAATTATCTTAGTAAAATAATAATAAAGAGATATAAATGTGGAAAGACGTTGGTGTATAGATCGAACATTTCATTCGTCAGAGGAAATTCTAGAAAAGATTGATTTTTGTCTTGGCGGGGAATTCTTTAGAGGACGATGTGGACTGTGTTGAGATTGATAAATGAAATTACACAACTGTTAAAGTTTGGATTCCACGATGAACTTCACAAAAAACATTGAACCATTCATGACGATGGATACGCGATGATTCTTTGCACACCTTATAGTGTGAGGTTGCATTCGACAATTTCCAATTACCCTTTTTCCGGTGACGCGTTAAACCATTTTTTTTAGTTGGCATACACATTGTTATAGAGAAATTAAATAAATTTGAATTAAGATTATTTTTGTATATTCATTCAACATTTTCATCGTCGGCATCGGTATTAAGGTTAACATTAATAGGCTTATTCTCGTTTCCAGTATCAATCATCCTATGCTTTGTCTCGGTTGTGGCACTTCCGCTCTTCAACGCTACTTTACTACCCCTCAATCTCTCTATGCCTTTCCCAACATTTTCTATGTGCACCTCAATTGGCATCTCGATCATTGATGGCCTTGACACTTGTTCTCTCAGCTCCTCTATATCCAGCTGAAATGAAGTTAAACCGTACAGTGTAGTTTGTATTTGTGTTACTGCTATTTTTCTTTGCCTATCTAAGTCTTGAAGTAATTGCAGGTTTTCTTTGTATATTTGTTTCTTCTCAAAATTGCCTCCAAGTATAGACCATAATTCAGCCAGTAATTTCCCGCGTTCTGTATTTTGTAGTTTGGATTCCTGGGTTGCTATATCGTGTATGGATATCAATATTCCATCCAAATCTGTTAGGCTATACAGATTTTCGGGGCACATTCTACTATTAATTCTTAATACCGAAATTTATGCATACGAAGATCGCTCTTATTCTCACCTTCCGAGAGCCTCCTGCCCCACAAGAATCATTCTCTTTAAGTCTCCTTCGATCAAGGTCATCATTTGACTGTATGCCATCTTCAATTCTCTCACACTAACTTTCTTATCTCTAACATTTTCCAGTGCCCTGAGGGCAAACAGATTGTATGTAATCAAGTTATCAATGGATGATTTTGTTCTAGACTGCAAAACTTGTAAGTCCCTTCCAACACTTCTAGCCTTTTCGACAAAATCCGTTAACCTATCAACTATCTCCGATGCGCTAGTCAACGAAGAATACTTTATGAGAGTTCTTAGATCCGCCGTCGCAAGCTCCGCCTTCTTGATGTCCAGTGCAAGAGATGATGATGGTCCACTGTGCGATAATTGTTGATCCATGATTTGTTCATAGGTGTCAACTTGGCGATTCACTAATTTCGTAAAATCTGGAATTGGCGCTTGGCACAGTGGAAGCATGCTTGATAGAGGCATGCGGCAAACCATCAATGATAAATCATCATAAAATGAATTTGATACGAAATTCAACGCTGATAACATGATGTATGCTGCGAGCACAAAAGAAAAGATCGGCTTTAGTAGTGTCAGAGCGCCGAAGATTATGTCTATTGTGTTAAAGTTGCGAGAAAATAAGATTATTCGGTTGAACGACAAAAATTTAAAAGACAAATAAATTAAGTTCAGTTCTATGGTTAAACTACCTTTAAAAAAGTTAAGGGGGGTTTCTGTTTTGTTATTATCCGACATTATCATGGAAACAACGAAAAGTCGGGCGTCAATCATACCGTGATTTAGTATTTTTCATCCGTTGCACAATACCAAATATATTTAACTACCTTATAAAGCCCCTGAGAATTTAAAAGCCTCAGTCCTTTTCTAGAGTATTTTTCGTGCTTTCACGATGTCACTAAGTCCCTATACCTTCGGTTCGCCGTTGTCCTCACCCGACGGCACCTCGCGTAGTTCAGGTCTTGAAGGTGAAGAGGAATTTCGACGCTACTTCAGGCTTCGATTGTATATATGAATTCTACATTGTTCTCTTTTATTTAGATGAATCGGGACAAGTTAGTCTCGAACGAAAGTTGCGCAGGGAACTACGCAAAAGGCAGCGCGAGCAAAAGCGCTTGGAAATTGAAATGGAGCTTGAAAAACAAGCCGAGGCGAGGCGGAGAGAACGAAGTGCAACTTTAAAAAAGATCGAGGAGGGAGAAGAAAAAGAAGAAATACAATATCAGGAATGGACAAAAAAGATTAAACAGTTACAGGAAGACGGTGACAAGGAGAGGCAGAAATTTGAAAGGGAACTGGAAGAGGTAGGTTCATATTATTGATATGATATCAGTATGATACGCGCCCTTTCGGTGAAACTTTCGGAGTTCTTTTTTTTAACTCTTTCAACACGGATCCGTGGAATTCACGCGTATCGAATATCGTCACGTGTAAATCGATAACACAATTTTCATCCCAAATAATATTCCAAAGGATATCCTGAAAACTAGAAAGGCAAGAGAGGAGAGGCGTCGGAGTAGCTCAGTATTGTTGGCATCAGGTGATCCATTAAGATCATCGAGAAGAAATTCGGTGGATTCATTAGCATCGAAACCTTTGGGATCATCAGTTGATTCATCAATGCGAACATACGGATCCCCAACCCGTGCATCTTTCAGTTTATCTTCAAAATCTAAACTTGAATCACCTGAAACAATTAATTCGATAGGTGAGATAATAAGCGAGTCACCCCAAGAAGCTAAAATTGACGCCGCCGAAGTTACTTCGAGTAGTTCGGTTATCCCTGAGTCACAATTCGGTGACGCACGAGAGGTAAATTTTGTACCCAAAAAGAAAAATAAGATCCCCATCGTATATATAAATTTATTATTTATGATAAATTGATTCAGTTGATTGTGTAATTCAAAGGATCATGAAAATACGATTTCACCAAGGCCGGTTATAAAGTTTTCGGATTCAACTGATAATGTGTTTAATAACAAATCCGGCTATGGTGATGGAAGTCCCGTATCACCGACAAAAGCGGCACAAATTGGCGAAGGTGGAACTCGTGCTCCATATGAGGACATTAGTGTAACCTCACCTGTCATTGAGGTTAAGGACAATGATGAGAGATTGTTAAATAATTTAGACTCTGATTTAGAAATGGAAATATCAATTAAAAAGGATTCAACTTTCGAGGAAAGCGATGCCTCGGGAAAGCAATTAAGCGGTGAAGAAGTTGCCAAGGTCGTTTTAATATGATATGTATAGGCCCTTCAATCTACAGAGTCACCCACTTTTAACTTATTTTTTATCATCGATAACAGGAAAGTGAGACCGCACCGACGAAAGAAGGGCTTTCTGATTCAATGTTGATCGATGAACACGAAGGAACCTCCAAAGGTTTACCCGACGCCGACGTGAAAGAGGAGGCGGAAACAAAGAAAGATTCGCCAAAGACACCAGGGCGACTCAATATCAATGAGATTTTCAAGGTAAATAATAATAATAATGATAGACATGATGAATCTTCGCTTCAACGAATATGAACAAATTTATGATTTTCGCGACTATCTTGCACATTGGTTACTTTATCCAGGAAAAAGAAAGCAATGTGCCGCCACTTCGCCCTAAACCAGAACCGCCACGTAAGAAAACCTCTCTTTTTACCGCAATGTTTGAAGAGGCGCAAAAAAAAAAACATGAAAGTGAAGGATCTTCAAAATCCTTGTCTCAGAAAATGTCAAATCCCATCGTGCAAACGACCACAACTACTGTGGTGGAGACGGTCACCAGCGCCGAGATGGTGAAAAATGGCGAGAAGGGAGTTGAGGCTACCAAAGTTGAGGTAGAAAAAACTGAAGAGGAGGAACATAAGAATCAAAATATAGAAATACCCAAAAAAGGGGACTTGCCGAGAACTCCAGGAAGATTAAACGTTAAGGAACTCTTCAAGGCAAGAATAATCATCGTCAGTTGATCGCTTCATGTGCGAATTAGATTTCAAAGTTTAAAAAAATTATAATACATATTTTAGGGAAAGGAAAGTAATGCGCCCGCGCCTTTAAAGCCTGAACCTCAAAGGAAAAAAATTTCTTTTGTGGGTACGGTTTTTGAGGATTTGCAGAGAAAAAACGAATCTAATTTGGATGTGCCATCTAAATCTCCGATCTTACCTGCCGGGAAAAAGTTCTCGACTACCACGACCGTCTCTAGCATTACCACTGTCGTTAAGCCTGATGAAGTGAATCGGAAGGTAGTGTTGCATCGAATTTTAATTTATTGATTCTCTTTCTCTCCCTCTCTTTTTTTTCCTTTCTTTTTATTCCTTCGATATAACCAATTTCTATGTCACAGGATAAAGGAGTTGTGCAGGAAAAACTAAATTCTACACCAACATCAGACAATTCTCAAGTGACTTCGAGAAATGAAGGTGGTAACGAAGGTTCATCGAAGTCACAAGCAAGTAGAAAGGCCGTACTTGATAGATTACCTTGGATGAATCAGGTAATATAATGCTTTACACACATCCGCGTAAATAATTTTCAATTATTGAATTTTGCCATGTGGTAAATTCTCTCTCACTAATTTTTAGAAATCAGATGATATTAGTTCAACTTCTTTAAATTCTTCAAAAAGTCCAGCTCCGCGTAAATTGGCCTCTCCGTTTCTTACCTCCTCCAATACCACCGCCACTACCACCGAACAATCCAAACCAAGGATCCCTTCGAAGTTGGATAATTCCATCTCGCAAAAGTTGGAAGGTGTTTTCGGAGGTAAAATGCCGTTGCCCGGCATGGGACGTGGAGGCGTGAAGCTGGGTGGAAGGAAAGTAAGTTTGAGTGGAGAAGACGGTGATACCGAGCGGGTAAAAGTTATGGTGGGAATTGGAGGGAATGGAAGGGATGAGATGGCTTCTACGGATGTTAAAGGAGAAAAAATTGAGTCCGAAGAAACATCGGTTGATTCATCGACATCACCCAACACTCTGAATCATGTATGTTTGTCGTTACTCTTTACTCCTCTCGTGTGATTATTTAAAATACGTTAACTCGTTCTTTGTTAATATGAAGGTGACAAGGGATAGACCGAGACCGCCGGGTAGATCACGACCTCCTACGCGGCCGACAAGAACTGTGAGTAGTGAAAATAAAGAGAACAAAAGATTGGATTTAACAGAAAGCAAAAGCATTGATACTTCTAGTAATGAAAAGGGTGTAGAATGTATTGAGAATACGGAGAGTAAGATAGCGGAAAAATCAAACGAACAAACACTCGAAGTTATTAATACCAATGAAATACCTGAGGAAATTTCCGTCGGTGAGCAAAGTAATCTTAATAATGATAGAGTGAATGATAATGTAGATAATTAATGGTATCATGTCGAAATTTATTTATTTATTTATTCATTTATTACTTGAGAACTTTTTTTTTTTTTTTGTACACTTTTACATTGCCATTGTGGTTTGCTATGATGTGATGGATGTATTATATTCCATTTGTTATAGAGATCTAGACTTGAATTGTTCAACAAGGACAGTGCAGACAAGCAATTTTTTCATGAGTACACTCGTGCAGTTAAATAAAAATGTATCCAGCAACATACTGTATATACAGCAAATTTAGGCTTTCATAATGGGTTGCGCTGAGAGCGTTCCCTTTACTTAAGGCAAAATTACTTAGGGGTTTATGTTTCATTGGTTGCATTAATTTCCTCTGCATACGAAATATTTTATTTCTAGCATTTATGTTCATTTGTGTCTTTCGTAAACTCTTCCTCCTTGTCCCAACTTCTTGCAATTTTGATTTACATCAACGTGAGCTGACGAGGTGCTGAGAAGGAATTCTCGAGTCCGAATAAGGATAACGAGAAATGTGACCCTCGGTAAACGGATTCTATTCATCATTTATCCAACACCTTTCATTTTATAAAAGAAATTTTGAAGAAAGAAATAGAGACCGCATGTACAGTGTAATGCGGTCCAATAATGTTCAGTAAATGATTTCAAAGGAGGAAAAATTACATAAATTATCGTGTGGTAATGCCGTAACAATAATAATATACCATTTTTTTAATGCCACTTAAACTGTTTTTTTTTTTTTTTTTTTTTGGCCAGCAAAAATCAGTATTAGCAAGCACGAGTATTGGACGAAGAACGAAAGCGAAAAAAGCACACATCCTATGGTGGTCACGCCAAAGTTTCGATAAATCTTTTTTCCCAAAGACTTTCGGGCGCGAATTGGTTAAACGCCAGATGGATGACTTATTTAGAACAGATTATTTGTATCACAAAATTTTTCCAGTCATTCGGTTCCCTCTCTCTTGCTATTTTTCATTGACGGGATTCGGTCGCAGCGAGACCTTGTTATGTGTTTCTATTGTAGAAATTCAAAAAAAAAGCAAAATGTCATGGCACTTCAACAATAATTGGGCCGCGCTTTTCTAAGCGTGTTGAGGAGAAACTGGACGAGAAGGAAGGAACCGACATCTTGCGAAGTATATTACGTTTAGAATAACAGTATGACAACGCGTCACGGAGGATTATTGATAGAATTACGATTTTATTGAAACAAACCAAGGTAAGTATGATTGGTTCTAAAGGATGATTCTTTCTATCAAAGAAAAGAATTATGGATAGACAATAAAGATTTATTTTAAAAGGTCGAAATAATGAAATTGTATATTGGTACGAGATAACATTATTAATAAAGACTTTATTAATTTTAGTGAAAGGATTTTTTTTAAAAAAAAAAAGTATAAAAGACGGTTCCCCCCCTTTTTTTTTAATTATCAGAATTCACCCTTGCACCTTCAATATCGGCCAAGACCATCTCTTTTACTAGTGAATCAAAGTCGACCTTTCGTTTCCAATTAAGCACATTATTTGCTTTTGTGGGATCTCCAAGCAAGAGATCAACTTCGGTGGGACGGAAATACTTTGGATCTACACGCACGCGAATGATCCCGGTATCCGTCTCGCGACCGACGAGCTCTTCCCCTTCGCCCTCCCAGGATATGGTTTTTCCTATGACGGCAAAAGCTTTGTCGACGTATTCTTTAACAGTATGAGTCTCGCCAGTGGCAAGCACAAAGTCATCAGGACTGTCTTGTTGTAACATTAGCCACATGCCCTCTAATTAAACCAAAATTATTTAAGATTCATCAATCGGAGACCACAATCACATAGATCCGATAATGATCTACTCACCGATATAATCTCTGGCATGCCCCCAATCACGCTTGGCATTGATATTACCAAGCCACAGGCATTCCTTTTTACCCAAGGAAATTTCGGCCACGGCACGCGAAATCTTACGGGTGACGAATGTACGTCCACGGCGAGGCGATTCGTGGTTAAAAAGGATGCCATTACAAGCGAACATACCGTATGCCTCACGGTAGTTAACGACTATCCAATAAGCATACAATTTGGCAACACTATAGGGAGAACGCGGGTAAAAAGGGGTGGTCTCTGATTGAGGAGTTTCCACCACTTTTCCATAAAGCTCAGAGGTGGATGCCTGAAGAATCATATTCATGGGTGAGTAAAAGATTTCCGACGACGTAAAATCCTTGACCGAATTGTAACTGCACCTGATAAAATCTGACGTGGTTGGTCAAACCGCATGTTCTTATGGCGTCCAATAAGCGTAGAGTGCCCAGTCCGTCAACATTTCCCTATAAAAAGCGATTTTGCACTTGAGCACGAAGGACACAGCACGCGAAATTCCAATGCAATGAGGTTTGCATACGGTATATTCGGCCATATCGAAGGAAACTTTCACGTGAGATTGGGCGCCCAAATTGTAAATTTCAGTTGGGAGGACTTGGGAGATGATATGCACAAGATTGGTCGAATCGGTCAAATCACCATAGTGAAGGATCATTTTAGGACCTAATAATAAAATGGAGATTTGATTTCAGTAATAATTGCATATTCCCTTTAATG